AGCATGGAAGGTATAGCCCAGCTATTGTGCTGCTTAAGGCATGTTAAAATATAAAGGCTGTGTGTCTTTTATCCAGGAACTTAATAACCAAAGGCAGGATTGAAATCATTTTCTTTCTTTTTATTTTAAATAATGTATTTTTTTCTCAAATCATAATTCATTCACACAGGGATTATAAACACAGAAAGGCAGGATGTGGGGAAGGGAATGACACTGGAGTGTGGGTGTTCAGGGGGAATACAGATATCTTCAGAACCGGGTATCGGCTGGGTGAAGGTTCAGGGGACAAGTCACTATGACTCTGCCTATGACTACTCGGGCTGGTAAATTTCCACAAAAGCTGCCTGTTTACAATAGCTTATAGCCATCTGTTTCAATGTTTTTCCACAGAGACCCAAGATTTGGTGTTAGTGTACATGTATGACAGGCCTATTGCTGGAAATCATTTTCTGTTATAGGAGTGTGATAAAATATCCCATGTAGGGCTGAGCCTTCCACAGTCTGTTTTTCTCCGCACTTGGGCAGTTGGGGGTCTATGTTGATTGCCATCTACTAGAAGGTTTTCTGATGAGGACTGGGAGGTGTATTAATCTGTGGACAAAATGATAAGTGATTAGGACTTGGCTCTCCTATGACGTCTCCAGCCCCAGGATCTTGGCCTGATGTAGGTGCCGGGTATGGGTTCCATCTTACAGGACATCACAGACAGTCTTGACTATGTACATACATGTCTTCATCATTGTGTTTATCTGCTTATGCATATTATTTTGTGATTCCCATCTCTCTTTCCATGTTTTGGTTGTTATTTTGGAAGTTCCTGAAACCCCGTCCACATTTTTCTATTTTCTTTGTGTTCTGTAGTTTGCCTGTTTATCCTTGAGTGTGTTGAATGTTGGGCTGAGTCCACTATATACTTGACAAATGTTTGTTTTTCTTTTTCAGATATTGTATGTTCAAGTTGTAATATTTCTGTTTTTTAAAATATTACTACACTTCTGCCAAGAATCCTTGCTCTTCCATGCCAGTGTGTTTTCTCATAACGGCTGCCATGAAGCATTTTTCCTAGTTGTCCGAGATTGGTGTTTGCTGATTCCATCCCCCTTTACATTTAGAATCTAGACTGCTCACTCGAGCCTGGGTAGGATGCTGGTGAAGGAACCTGAGACCTTCCCAGCATGCTACGTTTACATGCCACGAAATGAACTATAAGCCCATGCGGAATTAGAAGTTTTGACCTGTTAAGCAATTTGAATTGTAGTCTTACTGTTGTGTGCAGACTCAGAGTCCCCGACATAGCATGCTGCAGAACAGAATTATTACCACAAAGTATTGTTAGGTCTAGACTAAAATTCTGCTTTGATTGCTGCTAGACAACAAGGTCTTTTGTTAGTTATCTAAGTGACCTACAAGACAGTAACTTGGGCCTTCAGCTGAGACATGCATGCTGACACGTGGATCAGGGGAGCCTCTCCTGTATTCTCTTACATTCCCTACACTAGCCTATAAGTGTCACTTTGGTACAAACACGGAGCCTCCATTGGAGTTTTTGTTTCTAGGTCAGGTGCCCATTCTGTGTCTGCTTTGGAGGAAGCTGCAAAGGAAGGGAGAGGAGACACCTGGGCTGCCTTTCCAAGTTTTTAATCACACTCCAGAATCACATTAGTGGATCCTGAGAAATCTGTGTTTAACTAGCTTACCTGGAGGTCTTAGTTGTAATCAGTAGGTGAATGCATTATGATCTTACTGCTATAAGAGAACAAAACTTCAAAATGTCGGTTTTGAAGACTGTCTGGATCCAGAATTTAATATGCTGTGTAGTTTTCCTCTTCAAAACAAATGTAGCATTAGAAGTGGATCCTCTGGATTATACAGCCACAGCCTCTTAAAAATCTCCAGCAGATCATCTCCGTGATTTCCAACAACAGATTCAGATTTGATTATTGTTAGGAAGGTTCTAAAAACATTTTCTTCCTCATCCCCAGAAAAAGTAAAGGAAAAAGGAGGCAGGTCATGAAATCTAATACCACAAATGACATGTGGCCTGGTTTGAACCTGGTCAGTAGACACACACCAGACCCCATCGGGATCCCACTTCAATGAGCAGTGTTCTCATACAGCAGGGAAACACTGCAGAAAGACCTCCAGAAACAAGTGAGCCAGGTCTTCACCCAGATGAGAGATTTAACATGTTTACTCTTTTAGTAATTCAAGAAAATGTCACAGCCTTTGGACGTGTGTAAACTCCATTGATTATCTCTGCAAGCATGCTTCTGGGTGCTCCCTCTTTCCTTTGTGATCATGACATACTCTCACATCGACTTATTTTGGAAAATGATTTACATATGTTGTTCCAGGCAGGGCCTCTTGTGACAGTAGTAGTTTCAACAGTGACACTGCTAACCTATAAGCAAGAAGAAAAAAATAACAGTAGCTTACTGATGGAGTTGATACTGTATTTATTGTATGCTGCTACTTTATAAACATTGTCCCTCCTAATCCTGCCAGTAATATTTGTCAGATAAGCAAAACATAGCTTAGTATGCCAAGGCCACACCACTAGGTAGCAGAACCCAATGTGTTATAGCCAACTCTACCATGGGTAAGGCCTGGAGTCCCCAGGAGGACTGGGATAGCAGCTTCCTACAGATGAAGGAATCATAAGCCAGCCATTCCCTGTCACATCCTTTGGATCCTTGTCAGGGACTCCCCCAGTGGGAGTGCGTGGTGAGCTGTCACATTTAAAAGCTGGGCAGTGAGTCAGATTCAGTTTTTAACTTGGACTTCCTCCATGGTTCTCCATTGTGAGACTTGATCTGATGAATAGAACTAGTCCCAGCAAATCAGCAAAGCAAAGTGCATCAAGCTTCTTTGTGAATGGCTGCAGCCAAGTTGCCTGCTAAAAAGGGAAAATATTATTTCATAATTGTGTTCAGTAATTGCAAGGTTAATTGAATACTGTTAGGAAACAGCATCACCCGTGAGATGTTTATGTGTCTGTTGCTAAAACATAAATTAGACTTACCTGGCATGATAGTGCATGCCTGGAACCCCAGCGCTTGGGATGCCGGGACAAGAGGATCAAATGAATTCAAAGCCAGCCAGGGCCCAAAAGACCTCTTTTTACAAAGCAACTTTCAATATGACTCAAGACTTTCCAAAATTAATTCTTATATATGTGTTCCAAAAACAAGTAGGTAGAAAGAAACTAGCTATTTACTTAGGAGAAAATAATTTAAAATTGAAAAACCAGAATGCATGTCTTCAGCCTGGAACATTAAGATACTATCCATTCATGACATGTTTCTTCAGCGCCTTCTGTGTGCCACATACTTGTCTGGACAGGATTCGTGTGCTTTTCAAGAGTTTCACATCTGTGATGGTCACATTTCCCTCCTCATCATACCCCAGCCCGCACCCTGAACATAAGCATCCTCCTGTAAGCATCCTCTGAACTGTGCCCAGTGCATGGGCTCTTCCTATGTGCTGAAGACCTTCTTAGCTCTCTATCCTCTGTGTCACTCTAGGCATCCAAATCAGACACACACACAGACACACACAGAGACACACACAGACACACACAGATACACACACAGACACACAGAGAGACACACAAGTTCAATGAAAACCACTTCAATAGCATAAGCCTTCTCATATAACAAATCCAATCACAGGACATGTCTGGCAGCTCCCTAGAACTTGTAAGTAATGCGGGCTCCTTGTTTCCTGCTGTTTTAAGGGAGTTATTCTGGTGCCTCTGCTCACATCTTCCTGTTTATTGTATGTTCAGGCTAGCAGAAGGGAGAGGGGAATTCAACAATTCATTGCTCAGACACTGTACACAGTTAAGCTGCCATTTCACTGTCCAGCACAGTTGCACCTAACTACAGAGGACACAAGAAAGCTTCATGTTTTAAACCATATGGCCAAACATTTAGCTAAACTCTGGGTTCTTTTACTAATGTGGAAGAAAGGCATATTGGGAGGAAACCATCTCTAACAAAGACCTTTTCCTTGGGTCTTTGACTCCTCTGAATTTCTCCCTTTACACAAGCTTTTTAGATCTATACAGCGTGTCATATGGTCATAGGCCTGCCCACAGCTTGCTTTCTAGATGATCTGGTCGCTGCGTCTCCTCACTTGTCTCAGGAAAGGACTTTACTCTGTTACATATGACTTAGCCTGTGGTGAGCAGGGGATAGCCGTGAGGGATAGAGAGCCAAGTCACCGTGTAGAGCCTCACCTGCTCATCTCCTCAGCTCCCCAGCCTTGCCCGCTCTTAGGGAGGCTCTAGAGATGGTCTTCTACTGTAACCACATGCCTCTACTTACATATAATAAGCTAAAATTATACAAAAAGAAAATTCCATTTCTCAGTCACACTGACCACACTGTAGGTACTCAGCAGCAACTGTGACTGAGTCACTTTGTACACAGTAGATGCCAGTCCTTTCTCTCAGCAGCTCTGGGGCAGTGCTGCCCTAGGGAAGCTAGCCAACAGAGACAATGTCAAATGCTCTTAGCCTCTCCTCTCTGACTTTCTCTAACAGAGAATCTGAATTTTTCCTATTTAAATGGAAATCTGTCTGGTGCCTAGGAAACTAGCATGTGTCCTGCTCCGTATGCAAACGTTCTGGGTGATTGTTACCTGGAACAGAATTGATGGAGAGTCTGGGAAATCACAAACATTCTTCACCTCATTATAAACACACTGCAGGCTGGAGAGATGGCTCAGGGGTTAAGAGCACTGACTGCTCTTCCAGAGGTCCTGAGTTCAAATCCCAGCAACCACATGGTGGCTCACAACGATCTATAACTGGGATCCTATACCCTGTTCTGGTGTGTCTGAAGACAGCTATAGTGTACTCATATAAATAAAATAAATAAATCTTTAAAAAAATAAACACACTGAAGATGTGAGGATGCAGAGTGTGGGAGTCATAAATGTGAACGCCGCTTTCAGCGTGTTTTAATGGGTGTTGTCTGCATCTTGTTATAACCTAGGGACCTGGCTGCACGGAACTGCCTGGTAGGTGAAAACAATACTCTGAAAATTAGTGACTTTGGAATGTCTCGGCAAGAAGACGGTGGAGTATACTCATCTTCAGGCTTAAAGCAGATTCCCATTAAATGGACAGCACCGGAAGCTCTTAATTATGGTATGAATTCCTGGGTTTCCTTTTGATAGTAAATGTGGCCTGTATCTCCGGAAGCACTCACAGGTGTGACTGGGGTAGGGCAGCATCCAAACTGGAGCTGCTTGAGGAGCAACACCGAGCAAACGAGTGTACATGTCCTTACCCTGCTCTTGGACAAAGACAGAAATGTTCTTACCTGTGAGACTGCTAGGCTAAAATAGTCAATAAACATGACTAGACGTCTGAGAATTCAATTGTGCAGAATGTGATTACCTGCACAGCTGTACATCAGGTGTTGCTGTGGCTCTGGCCCATTGGTTTGAATGTCTTATAACTGGTCCAGTAATCTCATCTAAGGTTAAATGCTGTCAGTCCAGCCTTCAGTCACTCACTCTGCAGATCCTAGGCTCAGCCTCTGTCTATGGAACACCTATAAATCTTGAGCAAACAGAGAAGTGGGTATTTTTTTTAATAAGGGCAGGGTTTTCTTTTTCCACTGAATTTTTTTAAAAATCTCTATTGTAAGAAACTCAGAAGACAACACATGGGAGTCAGTGCATGTTACCACAGTTGTTAGCTGTATGTTAGTTAGTACTGGGTTTTCATACAAGGGTGTTTTCTGCACCCAGTGAGTATAAACTAGTGTAACTTCCTGGGGAACCACCAAACTTTTTACTAAGTAAAGATCTGAGTGTAATTGGCTTGTGACTCCTGCCAGCAAGAGAGGCTTTTGTGAGCTTTCCAGTGATTGTATAAACCAACCTAGGGTCCAGCGGAATCCCTGTCATCTCCCTCAGGATTCTTCTCTGAAGTGGATGCTACTCCTTTTGGGCTATATTACTAAAGGAAGAGATTACTGGATGAAAGATAAAACTAAAATTCTCATATTTGCACAGAAGTTTTCTTTAGATACAAAACATTTGTAAAACCCTTTGTGACTGGATTTTCTCCCCATGATTTAAGTGGTATGGATAGTAAAAATGGACCTCTGATCACACTGTGCTTTAATGATTACCAACCTACATTTATGAATGTGGGGACTAACTTCAGACACGTGGACCAGACAGATGTAAAGTATTTTAAGTAAAAAGGACAAGTAGGAAGCTCTCTGACACGTGGGGACACTGTTTTAGCTGCCTTTGATAAGCATTTTGTAAGATGCAGAAGAATTTAGGTGATGAGGGAGAGACTGTAGCCACAGATGACAGTGTACTTGAGTATTAATTCCCTAGTCCAAGGGGAAGTGCCTGAGAAAGACACAACCTCAGGGTCAGCCTGAGGAGCCATGTAAGTTCTCACAGAGTTTATTATGGAAGATTGGCTTTGGAGTCCTGTAGTTGTTTTTGCTTCTTTCAACAGGGTTGGGATAGCAATTATCTTATGAAAAGTCCTTTCTTCTTGTTGTACTTCAGGTTTTTATTTACTTCATCCTTTTCTTCCCCACTGATCTTCACGCTTGCCTCAGGCTGTGGGAATATTGTCCAGGTCTCCCACTAAGAGGTCAGGGAAATAAAAAACAGTCCTATGTCCAAAGATCCATCTTCTAGAAGCTTTGGCTTAGGTCTGTTGGACTAAGCTGTGTTCTTAAGTGTTACTTAAAACATTTTTAAAGAGTCAGGCAATATTAAAGGGCACTATACCTGCCCCCACCCCATCTTAAGTCACCGAGTTCTCTCCAGGCAGACATTGTTCCCGTGCTCATGCTCAAGCCATGGAGGTGTGAGATGTGACTGTGGTCTTAGTCCCTTTCTCCCTGCTCTGTAAGATACCCTGATGCAGCAGGGGGTGTCTCACTCAAGTGAGAAGGATTTTATGTTTCCAGAGGGACATAGTCTGCCCTGGCAGGGAAAATGTGGCAGCAGGAGACTAGCTAGTTACATTGTATCAAGAAACAGAACAAACAGGAAGCATCACATTCAACCCTCAGCACTCCCCAGCAATTAAAGGACAGTACACTCAGACAGTAGGGCATATATCTCTTCCACCCTCAGTCCAGTTTTCAATAAAAGTACAGGGTTTATAAACTTGATAATCTTCAACTAAGAAATGAAGTCATCTCTCTGTCCATGACTGAAAATGCTTTCCATCAGGGAGTGAGATAAGGGGTCTTTCCCAGGGAAGAGCACACCAATAGCTCACCCCTGAAAACATACATACAACTGGACTGAACAGGTTACATTTAGAAATACATATTTATATACATGCATGCAATGACAATTGGTGACAAAAGAGGAGAATCAGAAGGGGAATATGGGAGGGTCTGGGTGAGGTAAAGAGAGAAATGTTGTAATTATAATCTCAAAACTTATTTAACAAGTTAACCATTGGCCACCTGCCTGTTTGGAGATGATAGTAGAGCCCACAACATAACTAAGCAGAAATGCCTCTCAGTTGAATGGTATGATGTAACTACTGAGATCCTGGAATGAGAGGGATTCAGGCTTTTCTGCTTCCATGTTGTTGGCTACCTGGCCTGGGCAAGATATCTCCTCCTCTATGCTTATGTAAATGTAGAGCCTTCTCTCCAGCTCACTGGGTACCATGAGGGTCAGAGGATTGAAAGAGCAACACAGTGCCCTCAGCAATGATGACATTCCAGGTTCAAAGGTCAGGCAGGTGGCATAGCCCAAGTGAGATCTGTTTACAAGGTGCATTTCTTGATCTCCACCAGACAACATTTTACCGGATAAAATGTAAGTCTATATAACTTAAGTTCTTTACAAATTTAGCCTTAACCTTTAGCCACCAAATGAGTTTCATGAAAAGACTTGATGTGTAGAGAAGAAAAGTAATTTTCCTAAGCCAACAGTGCTGAAAATGTCCATAATTGCCTCACAGCTAAGCTGGAAGCTGATTCCCACAGCTGCAGCTGACAGTGAGTGAGTGCTGCAGGCTGAGGATGGCACCGAGCACAGGCAGACTCAGGCCATTTTACTCTCTTCCAGAATGGAAGAGGCCATTCTGTTCTAGAGGAATGCGACAGGTTTCTAGCCAGTGGCATTTACAAGCCCTAGGGTAGCAGATGGATAGGAAATGCTATGGTTCAAGACCTTCAGGTTGTGCATGGTGACATATGCCTGTAACCCAGCACTGGAGAGGCAGAGGTAGGAGGGTCTGAATAACCCAGCACTAGAGAAACAGGTAGGCGGGTCTGAATAACCCAGCACTGGAGAGACACAGGTAGGAGGGTCTGGAGTTGAAGGCCAGCCTAGGCCACATGAGACCTCGCTTCAAAAACAGAAAGAAAAAGCCATCAACATTACTGCAGGTGGAGTTTAGTTGTGACAGTATGTATGTACCATATGTTAGAGACTGAGAGGGACATTTCTGCTTCCCTGATTTCATATCCATCTTCAGAAGGCTTCTTGGGTAGGATTTTATCTCTGTGCTTCTGCTGAAGGCACCGAAAACACTCCTAAGAGTTTAGCTCATGTATCTCAATAAAACAGGTGCACCAAGATATTTTGACAAAACAAGACACCATGTAATTTGAATAATCTGTTTTTATCAGACAGCTATGTTAATTTCCAGTCTATTCAGACCACATGGAGAAATGTATTTTCTGCAAATGAAACTATCAGTGGAGAAAATGAGACCTTTAAGCGTGTAAGAATATCTGCAAACAGTGATGAGTAAAGAAATTGAAGTTAAGAAACTTTCCTTAATGCTTTAAGTTTGTTTGTAATTTTACTGGAAAGAAAATGCCAGGCAGAAGACCAAACTGTAGGAATCTGACTTATTTAATCTCCTAGACACTGATGTGTACAGATTCATACACACATGCATGCATGTGCATGCACACATATACACACACACAAACACACACACAAACACAAATCAACCATCTCATCCACAGATCACAGGGGACATAAGCTGAATTCTTGTTCTTGGGGAAGGGGAGAAGCATTTATAGCTCATAACTGAACTAGCCTCCTGAAGACTCCATTTAACTGTTAACATTGCTAGGCCTAGAGTAACACCAGTACAGAGAACGGGATGTCGTTGCGGAAGCCTGACTGTGCTGCTGGGAGGCTGACACTCAGAGCCACTGTCCTCTCCTCCCGTTGACTCACCTGGGTGTGATGGTTTTCTCCCTTTCAGGGAGGTACAGTTCTGAAAGCGACGTGTGGAGCTTCGGCATCCTGCTCTGGGAGACCTTCAGCCTAGGAGTCTGTCCATACCCCGGAATGACAAACCAGCAAGCACGAGAACAAGTGGAGAGAGGTGAGCCTAAGCCTCGGCACCTCGTGTTGGTATCCACCAGTACAGTGATGCCCATGGCACATCCGCACACCAGCTCTGGGAGAGGACAGTCACAGTGCTGTTTAGGATGCAGTAAAGAGGAAAAACATTAGAGGAGGCTATTTTGGAATACTATGGATGCTATGGCTCATACAGAACAGAAGCAGACATTTGCCGCCTGTCTGACCTGTGGCCCTTAGGTAGCATCCAGCTAAGCATAGCTGTGAACATGGCAACAAATTGTAAACTTATTTAAAGCATTCTTGGATCTGTTTGTTTGGTTTTGGGGTGTTTGTTTTTGCAGTTTGTTTCCTAACATAATTTGAGTTAGGACTTGAGTGTGAACTGTGGACATACCAGTCCTGCCATACCACAGTAAGTAAAGGTCAGGTGCATCTGCTGGGCTCTCAGCACAGAAAGAGAGAACTTCCCTTTGCCTCCCTTTCTTTTACTGAGGTGAAAGAAGGTAGACCACCTTTGAGTGGTGTTATACTCCGTATCAGATAAATCCCTTAATTCTCCAAGTGAAAATGCTTCTAGTTTACAGAAGGAATTCTGAGAAACTATAATCTGAAGAAACACCAGGATGCTCCAGATAGAGATGGGGGTGACTAGGTGGCAGTAGCCCCACACACATGCTTGTGTGGGGCACAGCTTCCAACAAGAGGAATGATGTTCACATGACTGCCTCTGTAACCAGCTGGACTTGGGGCTCCTGAGTATGGGGGTGGCCTTCCTTCCTTCCTTCCTTAGACACACACCTCCTAGCATGAACCCCCAGTGCTGCTAGACACCAGCCTGTACTCTCAGCTCCCTGTTGAATGTGTGTATAATCCGCATCTACATCTGCTCTGTCTGTCTGATAATTCTGGAAGCTACTTCTTAGAACAACTAAAATAGGCATTTGTATATGCTAGAGCGTACTTCCAACTTGCTGACAAATATGTAGCTCTGTAATTGTGTCACATGTGTGCGTGCTCAGAGGGGTAGTTATGAGACTGACACAGGTCTTTGCTTTCTACCTCACTTACTGCATAAGGTACTAACACACAGCGTAATGTCCCATGTGGATATTTAGACCTTAGCCAACCATTCTGAGCTCTCAACTCTTGTCTTGAATCTTCAGGATACCGAATGTCAGCCCCACAGAACTGTCCAGAGGAGATTTTTACAATCATGCTGAAGTGTTGGGATTACAAGCCTGAAAACCGCCCAAAGTTCAGTGACCTTCACAAAGAGCTCACTGCCATCAAGAAGAAGATCACATAGTGGCAGCCAGGGCTAGCCACCACCTGCAGGACTCTGTCCTCAGTCACCCCGACTTTATACCACCTTACTGCAACCATCTTTGAAGGTTATGTTTTTTATTAACTGGGTTTTTAAAGTATGTTCCACTTTAAACTATGTTAAAGGCAAATTTATTCAAGAAATAAATGGTCTTACCCAGGACTGTATTAGCTAACCACAGCAACCCTGCCATTTGATACCACTGTAAAGAGAAAAGCACAGGCCTAACAGAAAAGGTAAAAGGTCTATCTTTAATACCGAGGATCATTGGTGTTCCACCAAGGCTTTCTAATCCAGGCACAGCCTGTGGGCTGCTGTCTTCTGCTGCAGGCCCTCCTGGGTTGGTGCTATAAACAGCCTTGGTAGCGCATGCCTGTAGGACGAGTGCCCACCACAGTTGGCTCTCCACTCTGCCAAGGCGAGATTGTATCTATAAACATAATCATATATTGGGAATCACTTGGGCCTCCTAGGGTTTCTCTTTCTTTTCCTGTCAGAACATGCCCAGTGAGAACATCACATTCCCATATCATTTTGTCTTTTACTTCCCCAGTCCAGGCTACAGAAAATGGTGCATGGAAAATTCCCAGAGAGCTCAGGGTACAGAGGCAGCTGCTTCTGCAGGACATTGGAGACGACAGGGATGACAGGAAACATGTGTGACCAGGAGGGCAAGTTGGAAAAGAGCAGTTAGCCAGTGCTCACCAGGAAGAAGAAACAAGAATGCCTGCCTTCCTCCCAGATTTATGCCTTCGGAATACCCTGTATCTGGGTCTCAGTTCCCTAACAAGGTCTAAGAAATTTTCAGGAGTTCACAGAGCCCAGAGGAAACTTTCTTAAAGTTACTAAAGTCCACAGAAAGAACAGCATGGTTCTAATTGTATATCTTTATCCTAGGAGACAATCCCAGAATGGAATTCCCTTTACTTATACCTGTATCTGGGTCTTCAGAATCCATGATTCATTTACAAACACATCCACATATATCTACTGAAGTGCAAGGCACTGTGAACAAAATAGATGGGCCCAATGTCAAGTCAGTGTTAATAAAGAAAATCTCTAGGTACAGCCACACCTCCATCTCCTCTTTTCCACTAAAGCCACTACCTGGAAATCTTACTGATAACATACAGGTATGCAAGCATACCATTAAAGGTCTCTCCTGTGTATCTAATGTACCTCAGGTCAAATTAGGGTGTGGCCGAGATCAATGTTAGCTATGTCAGGGACTTGCCCTGTGGTCTGTGCACAGTTGTCTAAGGATCAGTGTGTCTGGGAGATGGCCAACTCCCTGCCTGGCTGTGCAGAGCATAGGTCAGTCTTTGAAAGAAGCTGCTGGAGAGAAGAAGGACTCATACCCATCATTTCAGCCTCCTTGCTCATTTTACAATTTTATACACATTTAATGATTCCTACATGCAGACTGAAATAAAGGCATAACGAGCCTGCCCACACCAATCACTGCAGCACACAAACCAGCTTCCCCTCCACACAGCTCTCCCATGGCTCAGGTACTGGAAACAAGCAGAGCTCCCCTCTGATGGCACACACCGTGGGAACTCAAGTGCAAATTCAGGCATTCACGTTAGTTAAAGTGCCCTGCTCTCCAGGCATCTGCTGGCCCTAGGATCCACCTGAATCTACTATAATACACTCTGTCTATGAAAGGAGAGAAAGAAGCAGCCTCTCACTACTTAGCAGTCTGCACCCAGCAAGGGGCAGGAGGCTGGCTTGCCTCAGCCTCTGTGGACAAGATGTGAAGCTTAGCCCCCGCGTTTTGGTGTACAGAGAACGTGGCACTGATACTCACTCATCCAGGCTGTTAGAATTTGCAATTCACATCATAACTCTTTGCTTAAATTTAAAAGGCTTTTCAAAACATCATAACATCTGCAACATTTAAATTCCATTTTATTCTTTGTCCCAGAGCAGGCAGAGGTATAGTTTAAGATTAACTCATCGGGAGCCTTTCAGGATCATGTCAGTCATACAGAGTATTAAATTTAACATAGGCACATGCATTAAGGAAAGCTTATGCAAAACATTCTTACTGTTAATTTTGTTATGCTTGAGGCATATTTTATTCATCCCTTCTGTCACTGATAATTATTGGAATTATGTACTTTAGGAGGCTAATCCATACCCAAAAAGTGCACATATAAATACAGTTCTGATTTGCAAGTTGATTTAGGGAAAAGAGGCTGCAGAAATGCACAAAACATCTTTGCTTAAAAAAAGAATTGCAAACAGTGGTACCCTGGTAACACTGGTGTGGATACACTGGAGCCCAGTCACAGATCTTTATTTTACTAACCAAGAGTGTTGTAGGCCTGCTCATGACTCTGCTCATTAGCATTCCTTCAGGTCAGCAATCTGGGCATGAAGAAAAAGGCTGCCAAACACGAGCAGTCTGGCCTCCGTCTGCAATGTCTACCTTGAGTCACCAGGAAACCTTCCTGAGAAATGGGAGGTTATTGTTTGTCAAAGACAGAAAAGGTTTCTGTCTTTTGATGTGTATTTCATGTGATCTAAGCTTTCTTCTCAAAGCCGTTTTCTTAAGAAGACTATAAAGAATTACTAGGTCTTTTTTCAGCCCATCCTGCTACCAGGTCCACAGGGGAAAGTCCGATGTGATTCTCCCTTTTCCAATATCTAACAGGGACAGTAGAGTTGGTTCCCTAATTCATAGCTGGCCACCTTCTCACAAACATCCATCCGCACAGCCTGGAGTCATTCAGTGCATATCTTACAGTTTCTTAGGAGCTTGTGTTAATTTCCTAAAACAACCAAGTTTCCTTCTGTATTAGCCACTGTTTCCATCAGCTAGCTCCTCTGACGTCACCACAGCACTGTGCTAAGATGTCTGTCAAATGTCAGTTGCAATAATGTGCTGCATGCCAGGACTGGGGCACAGAGCAAGCAGATGCAGCAGGACAGGTCTTGCTGTGCAGTGTGATCCTCACATGTTATGCAAGTATACCTGAACATCATCTTAATGTGTGTGTGCACCGTCTACAGCCATGTGTCCTTGAAGCAGAATGACATCTAAGGGCTATCTGTCTGAGCCCTCTTCCTTTCAGCACACTCCATTTGTCACACCATTGGCATTCTCCTTGCCTCTTGTCAGTAGACGTGATTGTCATGGGAAGACAGGCTTTCCTGTTTGGAGATCAGAGCCCTCATACAAAACAGCACCACAGCTGAGAAAGAGCCGCAGAGACAAAGCTCGCTTACATGTCAATATTTTCAGTAGATGGAATCAAAGGTTTTATATGAAAATCAATCATTAAAGTGGCATGAGAGTTTACTATGAAAATAAAGTATTTCCTCTTATTAACAGATTTACTATACCATTAGAATGTTTTATTAGATTTTTACTTTATCTTTTCCTGGGCTTATAAGTTTCATGTCAAGTCTGAATACTTTTTTGAGAAACCAAAATGTCATTTCTGTTTAAGGAAAGACCCTGATTTAAAAGCCAGCAAGATCACCCTGCTAGGAGTTTCTGAGACAGATTTAAGCTCCCATAAAATGCCCCTCTGAAAGTCGTATTCTAATACAGATGGTTAATCAACTGTATGTCATCACCCTGAGTCAGTATGAGAAATGTCCCCCTTACCCCAGAAACTAGCCTTCTACTAATGCAAAGATGAAATTCAGGAATAGCATTACAATCACTTTCCTAACCTGACAAATTTCTGGGATGATAAGAAATAACCCTGCTGTGAAATAATTCATTACACTGGCAAGGACTAATGAGCTGGGGCACAGTGGCTCTGTCAATGAGTTGCCCAGGTGGCCTGCAGGGAGGCAAAACAAGAAAGAACCAGCTCCCTTAAACGGGGAGAAAGTGGACAGAAACTGTCAGTGTCACCAAGAGCCCTGAGGAAATGGCCAGGGCCTCTCTCTGCAGCAGGAGCCTCGTGGCACCCCACTTAGAGTTGACACTGTGCTAAGTGATGTTCCCTTCACTGTCTTCTACCCAGTGAACTTGAGGTCCCATGTGCTCAGTCTTGAAGCAGAGTAGCCAAAGCCATCTGGTGCTAATTACGGGCATTCCTTAGGTGAAGACCACAATGTTCCCCAGCTCATTAGAGATCTTTTATGCAATAGAACCTGACCTGGCTGAAATGAGAACATTGCTTACATCATCTTGTGCTGCCTTTGACTAAATGGTCCCTGCTGAGGGACCCTCCTGAGCAGCACACTGTGCTGCACTGCACTCAAGGGAATCAACGCAGCAGGAAGTTGGAGAAGTAGCCATGGCTTTTGACTTTACACTAGGATCCTTTGGGAAAGAGAAGAATAGCCTAAGAAACATGCTGATGCAGAGCACAATGCAGCAGGGTGAGGGGTGGGTATCCTACAAAGGGGTCCCCAGAAGACAGCACTGAGAACACCAATGAAGGGAAAGCCCCAGTGAGCAGGGAGCCAGCCTCAGGCTGTGGAGGGGCCTACTGCTGCACAGCACCAAAGACAACTCACCTCAAGCCTCTACAGCAGTTGTTTGAAGGGCTTGAGTCGACTGTCTTACATTCTCTGCTGTCTGAGGAATCGGCACCGCACTCACCAAGACTGCAGAGGGTGGGAATCAAGCCCATGTCCTTCCATAAGCACAGGTAAACTGAGTGACAACCTAAGTGTGGGTCGCCAGTATTTGGATTCCTCACTAGCAAACTTGTAAGAATCCTCAACCAAGAGTATTGAAGTCTCTTCTTGAATTTCAGAACTGTGCACACAAACATCTGTTAAACCAGTAAGATACCGGGGAGCACTGAGGTGCTATGTAGTAGTAACAGACCTGCAGCAGTGTTTCCCCTCATATCTGCAGTGGCAGGTTCAGATTCTCTGTTCTTGTTTTTGGCTTCTTGTTACTTTGTTGCATTGCCAGAACAGAAAGGCCTTTATCATTGGCTTATAAACACAAGCGTGTCTTCTCAGAGGTTTCGTGCCTTCCAGGGACTATGCAGACCTGAGAAGGCAGAGCACACAGTCTGAGTGGAGACAGCATGCTCAGGTGCCAAGTATACTACTGTATGACCTTATCGGCAAGGCTTTGGGGACTTTAAGGACAGAAAGACTACTGTCCGTGGCATGTCCAGGTTGAAAATGTCCCTTTTCTCTTTGGGTCTTAAACCAACCCCCCCCCCCCCCCCCCCGCAAAAAAATGTTGGAACAGAACAGTCTACCATAAAGCTCTGGGCATCCAGTCTTCCCACACACCAGTCTATGCGAGTCCACTTTGTATCCTTTATACCATTCTTTTAAGAGCAATATCTAAGTTATTCAAGTTACCAAAGCCTCAAGAAAGAGGGCACCATGAGGGCTTGAATTCAAAGTAAGCCGGTCTACCTAAGTAAATACCCAGAACACTGAGAACAACAGCTTTCTTCGGTGGTTCCCAAAGCAGCCTCCTTCCTAGAGAGCCAGACATTACCCCCTTTCCTGTTTGTTGGGAATTTCCATAGCATCAGAATAAATATGTAATAAATGCTACCCAGCAGGTCCAAGGTTCAGTAGGAAGCCAGGTGTCCTCCTGTAAACCACCAGTGCACATCCAAACGCCGCTTCCTATTTTCTTTATGTAGCACTGAGTTGCCTGACAATCATTACAGAGCAAAAATGTGAGCCTGTCTTCCCTGAGGCCCAGGTGGCCTACGTTCAGAACCTTCAGGGCTAAGAGAATCAGACAGATGGATCTGATGGATACCTTGTGTAAGAAAACCATCCTTTTTCAGCTCACCATGCCATGCTTTTTCTTTCTTAAACCAAAAACCATCTTATTTAAGAATTTTCCTCCTACAAAGAATTTGGTGGGGAAAACTTCCCTGCCAAAACTTGCATTTCTCATAAGAAATGCCAGACTAGTGTATGCATACAAGGGCAGGAAGCAAGCTTGCTCCTCACCCAAAGGATGGCTGTACCTATACTAGATGTGGGGTGCTGAGGAGGCTCATTCCGTGTTAGTTGTAATTGCTCTCCTGGAGCAGCAATTAGACCAATACTACGAAAAGCACCAAAAAAAAATTTCCCATCACCCCTTAGGTCCTGGGCCTTCCACATCCACAGAGCACAGAATATGAGTGCATCCCAATGGAGGCATTTTTACTCAGTGTCAATGAGACTTGTTTCCCCAGCTTCAGCAGGTTACAGCAGCTATACTGAACAATCAAGAGGTTCTGATCAAAAACAAAAGCTTATTTTTTCCAATTCATGACCATAGCAGCCAGAGACAGAAAATACCCTTACATCTGCTGGAATTTCACACCACTAATATGTCTGTTGTTACCCGACTGTGTCCTGTGGTGATTCTCCATGTGGACATAGTTCTTGTGGGACTGCCCATTATCATCATCCTTCATAAACCACTGAAGCTGCCTGTGGGGTCAGCTTCTGTAGTCAGACACCTAACAATCCTGTGTTTAAATGCCTGTAGGTTTTATGTTTAGTGTGTGTTTCAGTATATAAGTGATCCAGCATCTGGGGACCAGGCATGAACGCTGGTGTACCTTCTGTTCTCTTCATTATACTTTGTGTTTAAGCTTCTTTGTTTCGTCTGGTGCTTTTAGTGAGTCCTCTAAAATGTTACAACGCTCCGAAAGCATAGCCATACAACTACACCGAGTTTAAGGATCCCTGGAAGTAGAAGAAAATAAAAGTGAGCTCTCAGAGACCCACAAACTACTCTGACTTCTTCAGGAGTCCAAGCCAACTAAGCACAAAAAAACAAAATACTCGACTGGTGCCCAGGCTGTCAGCCCACCATGTTCCCAGCACAGACCCAGAGAGAGAAGGTACAGAAACATGACTTCCTGAGTTGTTTCTTTCCTTGTTACTAGGAGATGAGCTCAGTGGTGAGAGAGGAGGGCCACCCTCAGCCACCTGTGGGCTAGGTGTTCCATCTGTAATCAGCACTGTGAGCCAAGCACCTCTGTGGTTCTCCCGAGTTTCTTCAGAGGCAATGGGTGGCCATTTTAATGTCATGTTAAGCACCTTTAATTTTTTGTTGTTGTTATTATTTTAAAATAATATATTTGTGAAGGGGATAAAAGAAACACTGGAAATAGGGTGCTTCTGAAAATGTCAAGTATAAAACATATAAAACAAGGTATGTGGTTTATCTGGCTTTGTAAACAACCCTGAAGATGGATGTCAGCTACATGTTTGAAGCAGTTGTCTACTTTGGCTGATTGTATCTCAGATCTGTATTTAACATGTATTTATTTGTTAAATTTTACATTCAGAAGAAATACACTTGGAATTTTGGCTGACATTATAGAACGTTCTGAAAATTGCCTTCTGCATTTTTTAAACACATTTTGATCATTTTTGTGAATTAAGGCCACTTTTGGACAGCCTTCTTGTACCGGAGACCAATTACCATCCAGTGGTCTGCAGAGTCTCCTTTTATTATGTCCTTGTAATAATGTAAAGTATTTACAGCAAACTGTGCCGTGTCTTGTTTGATCTTTCAGTCGTGTTTACATTTACCTTTCTCTGCCACATAAATATGCTCAAAAAAGAAGAAAATGGAAGTGAGATTTCCATGGTAACTGGGGTCCTCAGGCTGTAGCACGACATAGGAATTATTAGCTTTTGGTTTCTCTGTAATTAAGCTTGTAAGTCCTGATGATGGTGGTGTGTGCTTCAGTCCAAGGGTCTCTTTCTGTTTAGACTAAAAATTGAAATGTAGTTCAAGTCCGAGATTTCTATATGCTTTGGGAATTTGCCAGGGTTTCCTTAAATGTATTGGAGGTGGGAGGTGAATATGCCTGGCCCTATTAGAAGGTGTGGCCTTGTTGGAGATAGTGTGTCACTGTTGGGATGGGCTTTGAGATCCTCCTCCTTGCTGTTTGAAGACAGTCTTCTCCTGTTTGCCTTCAGAACAAGATATAGAAACTCTCAGATCTTCCAGCCTCAAGATCTAGATCACACATGTGCCCTCCATTTCTGGGTTGTACTTCATTTTAGATTTAAAGTTCAAATAAAAACAATAACCAGGTAATAATAATGCCTAGATAGGACTGTCCCCTGTTCAACTGCAAAAGCATAAACAATAAGCTGAGCTGGGTGGGATCTTGCCTCAGGGTCACCACTTTCCTAATGTGTTTATTTCCTTGAACACAGGACTCGGCTCCATTCCATTTCCTGTTGCCCCTTGATTACTTAAACCAAACATTTTTATTTTTCCTTTCTATGCTTGATCAAAATGCTCTTCATGAGAATAAACCAGAGGACAAAGTCTATGCCGGGCTTTTCTGAGACTTCCTTTGTCAATGTGATTAATCTGAATCAGTTCACCTTAGCCTTAGCCTCAGGGAGACTTTCCAGACAAAGACAA